CCGGAGCCACATCCCATTGAGTGGGAACTTCCAGATCCAGATCCATGACCCATAGACTGGGAGCCACCGGAGCCACCTCCCATTGAATGAGAGCCACAGCCTCCGTGACTCTGGGGTCTGAAGCCTCCGGAGCCACCTCCCATTGAGTGAGAACTTCCAGATCCATATCCCTGTGAGCCACTGCTGCTGGACCCTCCACCTATAGGTCCAGTGTAAGATATCACACAGGGAATTAGGACTGCAGAAGGTTTTGGGAGTGAGCAGGACATCCCACCAGAGCTGGAGGAAGGCCTTGGGCCAGTGGAGGTGCTGGAAGAAGAGAGATTAGTCTTGAACACCAGGTTGCTGGGGGCGGAAGAGCCATAGGATGAGGTTGGGTTGCTCTGACAGGCCGCAGGAGAGCTGGGAGAGAAGTTTCCAGAGCTGCAGGTTTTGGACATGTTGACAGAAGATGTGAGTTCAGCTGAGTGACAGTGAGAAGATGCTGAGTTTCATTGGCACAGAGTGAACCCCATGTTGTATATATACCCCTAGACCTCGATGTGTCACTAGTCTGAGGCTTCTTCCTCCTTGCTCACTGTTTTATATAAGAATACGTGTCTAATTTATTGCTTACATTGAATTTTCCACATCTTCACATCCTTAATTGTACTTTAATCATTCTGATACAACTGAGTAGAAGCAACTTGATTTCTTTTCCCGGCAATTATCTGGGGTTTGACCTTAAAGTCAGGTCATCACATTTCCAAATATTCCCCTCTTTATTGTCTGTATATACTCAGTTCTTGACCTATCTCATGGAATTCAGCAACTTTTCTTCACTGTCTCTAAGTTATTGGGGACCTGAGGTTTTGGAGTCAACATAGTTTTTTCTTCACAGGCATTTTGTGATGGATTTCACCAAATGGTATCTACATTCAGTCATCTCACTAATCTACCAGCTGAAGCTTTTACTCTTCCGATTGCATTAATCCATGTAATTCTTGATGTCATTCATTTAGCTTAAACTATAGATTTACTGACAAAACATTCAGTTGGCCTGTTTTAATGTAAGCTTAGCTTTCTCGTCTCTTGAGTTCATGATCACAGTTAAGGGGTACAGATACTTTCCATGGTGTTCAAGTCAGTGAACGTTCCTAAAGGGAATGGAAACCTAGTTGGTTTTCTTGACAATGCTCATTTAGGAATAATAAATACCATATTTTAGTGAGACTTTACATAGAACTGAGTTTTTCTATGTATTTTTTGACAAGTTTATCTTAAAGTAGGACTTATTCTCTGCTCTAACTGAAACCCTTAATTTTTGTTTGTTTTCCCATGCTTTTTGATGGAAAGAAAGATGCTTTGTTACAATGATTAGATTAGATATAGATTAATGCTTCAGCAATTGTTAACATTTTCTGAAGCAATTAACTGAAATTTGAGAGCTTTGCTTGTTTTTAATATCTTCTGGTCAACCCATACCTAGAAAACAAAATGTTTCAAGGATATCAACAGAGGCCTCCTAGATGTTCAGTAAGAGAAAAGCAATGATGAAATTTGAACTATGCTCTTTTTATGCCAATTTAAAATTCAGTTATTCTAAGATAAAAGCAAATTCAACTTGAACTTGTCTCAAAAAAGAATCTATTGTGTTTATTTACACTAAGCCAAATTCTAACAAAGCCTTAGAAAATTTGCACTGAATAGTGTCAATGGTAGAATTTTCTATGTCACTGATCTTTATATATTTAAAGAATACTGTATTTTCTAATCCAAGAAAAAGGAAAAACAATTTGGATAATCCATGCTTAAGAAGAGATAGAGGAAGGACAAAAAAGAAAAGGAAAACTTCCTTCTAACTGGTTTGTGGCTATTCATCTTTTGAATCTGACATTTTATTTGGTTTAACTAAGGGAAAGAGCATTCGCAATTGTCATTGAAAAGAGAGCACTTTAACTACCTGAAAATTAACTCCCTTTATTTCAGAGCAAGCAACTTCAGAGCATTTAATTGTTTTGTTTTATGATTATCTCTCTCATGCAGAATCCAAAGTGTGCATTCATCACATAGAGTGCCCTTGTGTAATAATACGTAAACCACCACTCTGATTCACTGAAGTAAAATAAGCTATGCTTTATGAATGGACACCTATAAAATTTATTAAGAAGTCTGTGCCACTGACAACTCATAGTATTCCTTATGCCAGCTTTTAGCTGCTTCAGAATAGGAAATACTTCTTAAAAGTTGATTCTACTTAAAAAACAAAACAAAAACAGACTTTCTAGTATCTAGAAGTTCTTACTTTTCCAGACCAACTGCCTTTGCTGATAATTAACATTACAATAACTTGGGAATAAGCTAAGTCCTTTGAATACTACTCACCTATTCCTAATGAGGTTAAGACTTTTCATTAGTCATTTGTGTCCTTTATATAATGCTAATGAATAACTAGTAAATGCTAATAAATGTATCCCTCTGAAAAGAAGAAAAAGCAAAACAAAACTAAGAGTAGCTCTAGTAATTCAGAGTGGACTCTGAAACTAATGAAATACTCAGTGTGTTCTCCATACTACACCATGATTAAGAAAAGTAAGTCACTATCTGGATAAGTCAGAGGAAAAAATGCAATATTGGCAGAAATTTTTTGTTTTTAATGAAATGAGAAATACCAATACTACCAGAACAAAACAACTTGCCAACCTGTCACATGATTTGTGACGTGAATGACTTGAGTAGTGATGGTATTTCAGGTCACCCTATAAATGGCTCAATTTTCACACTGACAAATCTTTTTTTTTATAGTGTTTTTGGGGACGACTGAACACCTTTCAGTTGGAGCAGTGGAAATCGTGAAAGCCACAAGATCCAGCCTGTATTTTCCTCATACTTTCACATTCTTCTTATGTCCTGAAAATTGCCTTCTCTCGTTTTACAATTTGAGATAAGGATTATTTTTTTGGCATATAGATGTCAAATTGTTACAGGCTATAGTTTTACCATGGGGCAAGACTCAGGAAGCTTCGGAAAATGTGGCCTTTCTCCCCTCTGGCACCAAAGACTGCAGCATCTGGGTCTTCCCAGTGTGGGGGGCCACCAGACTGAAAAGACTGAGGTGCATAGTTCAGGCAGGAAGTATCAATGTGGGGGCGCTGGGGAGACTTTGGAAATACTGGAAAGCAGAGGAGGAAGCCCGGGAGGCATGCATTTTTCCAGACCCTGGACTCCAGAGGACAAGACATGAAGATGTGGAGAGGGCCAGTCTGCAGATGCTTTCTTGTCCACTGAAGAAAGAAGCAGCTTCCAGGGAGACGCCTCCAGCAGTTGACTCCTGAAAAGAAGCCAAGTTGCCTTGTACAGGACTGGCCTGCTGAATCCCTGCACAGTCTTGTTGCTGTTGTCTTCAGGAGGCAGAGAGAGAGCCAAGGCTCCAGGCACCGCATCTCACTGAGCTGGTGCTGGTAGTGTGGGCCAAAGCATCACAATGAGCTGTTTACTGGGTTGTCCGCCATCATCTCCATTGCTGTGTGTTCCAGCATTCTGTGTGGTTCCCCCCATCCTTCCAGATGTAGCTGTGGGCTGCTGCTTTGTTTTGCTGGTCCTGCTGTGGGCTGTGAGCCCCTTTTCACGAGCTGCCACTGAGTTGGCTCCTGGTCACCACTTACCAGCTGCTATGCTGGTGATTGCTAGCTGGACGATTTCATCTTGGAGAAGTGGCCTTTCGTTTGGAACTTGTCAACACTGGACTCTAGGGTGAGAGAGCAGTCATTTGTGGCCTTAGTAACTTTTTGTTTCCCCTGTTTGTTAAATAGATCCCATTATTGTTTTCCTTAAACATGAGTGGTCTTGCAATGTGTATGTGAGTGAAGAACTCACAATGACTTGTGCTCTGTTGGAGACTGTCCTTGGGGGGCTGTAGAGACTGTCCTTGGGGGGCTGTATTACCTGTAGAGACCAGCATCACAGTCACCTCTTCCCATTTGTTGAAAAGATTGCCCTTTCTCACTGAATCACCATGAGTCACCACTTTGTGAAAAGTCAATGAGTCATATGTTTACAGACCTATTTCAGGAATCACTCTTCTGTTTTGTTAATGTATGTGTCTACCCTAGAAGAAAATCATAGCCTTTATTACTATAGTTTTACAGTAAACCTTGAAATCACAGTGTAAATGCTCAAGATTCATTCTTTATTTTCAAGATATTTGTCTATTTGAACTCCTCTGTAGTTCCTTTTAAGTTTTAGAATGAGTCTGCTAATTTCTACCCAAAACCCCACACATTTTGATATAGTTTTGATTGGGGTTTTATCAAATTTATATTTAATTTGTGGAACATTAGCATTTACCTGTGCTGCATCTTCTGTTCCCTGAGTATGATCTGTTCTCTTCATTAAAATAAGTTCTCTTGAATGATTTTCTGATGTAGGCTTTCTACCCATGCTGTCTTATGACAAGGTCTGGGCAATGGGAGAGACGCCCGAGAAGTTGGAAGGTGCTTGTCTCCCAAGAAGACATACTAAGGGGAGTCTCCATAGCAATGCTTACTGAACTACCTTGTGCTTGTTCTTGGCTAATAGCAACTGTATTTGACCACCAAGCAATCCCCGGCCCTCTTTTGTTTGCGGCCTAATTGGGTTACAAAAAATGTTTAACAACTGACAATGATTTTCTCAGAAAAGTACCTTAGCATAAGGTCAAGAGTGTAGATTGTTTTTAGGGTATAGATAAACTTGACCAGGATGTGCCTCCTCCTGGGACAGTTTGGAGGGACTTAAAGAAACAGATCTGAATCTAGATTTAACCTGAGAAAGGACTGTTCAAAGGAAGACTTAATGATTTGCAGCTGTAGTTGAGATGCTGACTAGAATGATTGGTCATGCTGAAAAAATGGGGATGCTGATTGTTTTTGGTGGTTTTCTTTCTATGGTCAAAAGAGTTTCTTTGTAACATGTACCCACAAAAGTTTTGGTGTAGCCATGGAAATGATCTGTTAAAGATTTGCTTCAATGCCTATACTGATGTAATCTCACCACTTGGAAATTGTTTCAATAAAGAACTGCTGAAGTTTTCCGCAGGAGATACTTGCACCAGCAAGACTGTCAGTGTCTGCCTCATTGCTCATTTCACCAACACCGCCTCACCCTTCAGGAAAAAGACCCCTGACCTATCTGGGCTGGACTCTGACATCTGGCATGGTCTCCGACAATTTTCAACAATACATTGTAGTTCATATGTTACAAATCCTGCTCTGTCTTGATCAATTCATAGCTGAGCATGTTGTGTTTCAAATAATCGTTAAAAACTTTGTTTCTTATTTTTATGTAGAATGGCTTTTTCTGTAGATAATTTATGTCTTGTCACATTCTGCATTCATTTAGTAATCTCAGTAGATGTTTCTAACTTACTTTACATGCTGCATAGGCTTATGTGTCATCTCCAATAATGACAGCATTCTTTCTT